CTAATAAAGAAACTGTGTCAAAGTACAGTTGTTGGGTGATTAACAAGATTTATTCAGTAGCTAAATGACTGGCTTATTTATTCATTTATTCCACAAATATTTAAAAGCACCTAATCTATGCCAGGGATTGTTAGGGCTGCATAATCCCTCATGGAGCTCAGTCAAGTGCTGGGATAATTATAGCCAGTATATATTGATTGTTTAGTATGTGCTGGGCAGTGTATTGCACGCTTCAAAGACTCTATATCAAGTTCCTCACTTGCAAGATGGGGATAATAGTCATAGTTATACATAAAAAGTTAAAAGAATTGAATGAAATAGTATGTGTAAAGCTCCTAGAACAAGGCTGAATATATACATATATACACATATCTTGTTATAGTTTTATGATTATTATTATTTTCTTTGCTATTTAACATACCTTGTAAAGTTGGGCTATTATTATTCTCATTTACAGATAAAATTGAAGCTTAGTGAATTTAAGAAATCTATTCAAGGAAGACTACACAGTTAACAATAACAGAGGTAGGTTCAAATTCAGGTAACCAATTCTCAGCTTATTCTTTCAACCACTCAGCTTTCCAGTCTCCTATACTCTGGCTAATGTGTAAAATTTAAACTTCTTCTCTAGCACACTTATGGACGGTTATATATAACATGCACTTTTCTGGTCAAAACCGCAAATATTAAGTTGATAAATGCTAAGGGTCTACTTTATTACCCCCATTTTCTAGTTGAGAAAAAAAGAGGTTTAGGGAGGTCTTATATGGAAAAATTGTCTGAGCTTAGATCTCAAAACAGGGGTCCAAATCCACATCACACTGACTAAAGATCTTTTTAACTTTATTAAAACATAGTCATGGTGAAAAATTCTATTCACATTTATGGAATACACTTAACAGTATTACTGATAGTTATAGTTATAGGGGTGAACATCATCACTAGCTCTTAAATTATATCATATGACTGACTATATGGCTTTAAAAATAGTTGAAAATATAGAAATGTTTTATGAAGGGTCTTGAAATGTAAAAAAAGAAAAAGAAAAAAAGAAATGCCTCAAGTATCACAATGGACATTTCTAAAGATGTTTGTTTGTTTGTTTGTTTATTTATTTATTTATTTATTTATTTATTTATTTATTTATTTGAGAGAGCAAGAGAGAGAGCACAAGAGAAACAGGGGGATGGAGAGAGACAAGCAAACTCTGCCCTGAGCTTGGACCCTGATGAGGGGCTTGATCTCAGGACCCTGAGATCACGACCTGAGCTGAAATCAAGAGTTGGGATGCTCAACTGACTGAAGCACCCAGGTGCCCCTTGGACAAATACACTTTTTGGAAAAATTTTAGGTTTGCAGATAAGTTGCTAAGATAAAACGGAGAGTCTACATGTGTCCCTCCCTGTTCCTCCTTACATTGTCAGTGTACATTATCATCATACATTTATCAAAACTGAGAAACTGACATTGGAATATTATTGGTAACAAGATGACTGATTTTATTTGTATTTCACCAGTGTTTTCATTAGTGTTCTCTTTCTGTTCCAGGATCCAATCCAGGCTACCACACTGCATTTAGTTGTCATGTCTCTCCAGTCTCTTCCGGTCTGTGAGTTTCTCAATCTTTCATTGTTTTTCTTGAGATTAATTATGTTGAAGAATACCAGCCAGATATCCTATAGAATGTCCCCCTGTCTGGGTTTGCCTGAAGTTTTTTTCATGTTTTGACTGGGGTTATATCATGAACATTTTAAAGTGAAGGGATAGAGAAAAATAATCCAAGAAAATGTATAAGGGGGGGCGCCTGGGTGGCTCAGTCGTTAAGTGTCTGCCTTCAGCTCAGGTCATGATCCCAGGTTCCTGGAATGGAGCCCTGCATCAGTCTCCCTGCTCAGCGGGAATCCTGTTTCTCCCTCTCCCACTCCCCCTGCTTGTGTTCCCTTTCTTGCTGTATCTCTCTCTGTCAAATAAATAAGTACAATCTTAAGAAAAAAAATGTATAAGGAAAAGCAACAAGCTTCTGACCTACACCAGTCCTGGTAATTTTTTAAAATGTGAATCTCACCTTAAAAAGGTCATTAATTCAACAAAAATTTACTAAGCACCTACTATGTACTAGACACTATTACAGGCACAGAGGATACATTAAGGACAACCAGTCTAGATTGAATGGTCATGAAAGGCCTCTTTGAGGAGGAAACATTTGAAAGGCCCAAATGACAAAATGGAGCTAGATAAAAGCAAAGATTTGGGAGAAGAACATTTAGGGAAAGGGGTAACTAGTGCAAAGACTTTGTAACAGAGGGTAAACTTAATGTATTTAAAAAGCTTCAGTAAGGGCAGAGTGAGTGGGTCATTGGTATAAGAGGAAGAGCGGTAGATGAGATGAGCAAAGTGGCCAGGGGCAAGCTTGCGCTGGACTTTGTAGGCCATGGCAAGGAATATGGATGTTATGCTGAGTGGGACAGAAAATATTTGAAAGGTTTTAACTAAGAAAAGATTTTAACTAAGAATTATATATAATCTCATATACTTTAAAATGATCACTCTGGATGCTTTGTAGAGTATGAAATTGGGTGATAAGAGTAGAAGCTAGGAGCTCTGTTAGGAGACAATTGCAGTAGTCCAGGCAAGAAAAGATGATGGTTGGAGTAGGATGGGAAGTAGTGGATATAAAGGGAACTGTTTGGATTGGTATGTTTCAGAGGATGAAGCAACAGCACTTAGTAATGAATTAAATGTGAGATAAAGATTCTCAAGTTTCAGCTGGATAAACTGAATTGATGATGGTGCAATTTATTGAGATGGAGAGAACTGGCAGAGCATATGTTACAGAAGGAAGATGGGGGAGGCTCAGAAATCAAAAATGATCTGTTCGGATCAAGTTAAGTCTGAGATTTTTCAAGTCATCAAAAAGGTAGATATAAGTTTGGCATCCACGGGAGAAGTCAGGGCTGAAGACATAAAATCCATATACAAAATAAATCCATATGCATGTAATATTAGTAACTTAATTTACTAAGAAGAATAACCTTCTATTAATATTTGCTCATTTATTAATCAATTCATTGATTCATATACTTATTCCACAAATTATTTATTGCAGAACAACAAACCTATCTGGCTTTAGTACAGCCATGCCAATGGCCTCCAAAGAGAAGAATACAATCAGAGAAGGTGGATCATGGGAAGAAAACATCAGAACCTTAAAAAAATATTTATTCTTATCTAAAAACAGAAAAGACTAAGTCTTGCAAATATTTAACATATAGATTGACACTGGCGTCTCACTATTAATGAGTGAAAAGTGTGAGTCATGCAATGTGGGGAACAATTCAGGGATGTCTTCATTTTCTTTCACCTTAATATACTGTGATTTATTCTAATTTATATGTGCTGGGTTAAGTAGATTTACCAGTTACATTATTATTTCATTAAATTGACCACTTACTAAAATGAAGGTAGCTAAAAAAGATTTCTGGAAAGAAATTATCTCCAAAATTTTGGAGATAATAATGCAAACATAAGTAGAAGCGGTGATAGGAGAGATGACATGTCTACTTCTAGCATGAGCCGTGCAGAAACCATCTTATTAAGTAGTGGGGATAACACTTAAATCAGAGATTTGGAAATATTTCTGTTACAGGATTTTGATGCAAAAATGATGTTTGTGTGCTACCTAAGGCTGAGACAATGGTAAGGTAAGTGAGGTTTTCACCTTGGGTGCAAAATTTAAGGGGGCAGCCAAAACTCAGTAATCAAGATAAAGAATATCTTAATACCATATTTTAAAGATTCAAAATTAATTCAAAAATCTATGAACAAAATATCAAAATCTTAAAGACAAGATCAGTGCCCTAAAAAAACTTAAACATGTACACTAAAACTTGAAGGCAGAATTTTTCCAAGCTATTGAAAACTCTTCCAAGCAATGCATTCCAAAGAGTTCTGAACCCATTTGTTAAAAATATAAAAATGCAACATTTTCTGGCTGACATCAGGGAAGATAGAAAGTTAGTAGTTGAATTTCAATAAAAACTTTTCATGATTGGTGGATGGAGGAGATAAAAATGGATACTTGCATTAGTAAGAGCAGCCAAAGATGTACTTCTTCCATTAGGATCTACATATCTTTGTGAGTTATCTTTTTCAGCTTATGACAGCTATTAAAATGAGGTACAGAAATAACCTGAATGTTGAATCAGACAATTTAATAACTGCTTCACAAAGTGTTAGAGATTTTAAAAACCACTGAAACCTACTTGATCATATTTCTTTCACTAAATATTTTTGGTGAGAGTAACAATTCTTTATACCATTAATATAAAAAATAACTCTTACAGACTTTTAAATGTTTATTTTTCATCTTATCCTTTTTACATTTTAAAAATGTTTTATGTCACATACAGCAAGACGTGTATATAACTTAAGTATATAGACTTACAGAGCTTTTTTATTTGCTAATAGGGGCTTGCAATCAAAAAAAGTTTGATAGGTAGTTGATACTGTGGGTGTTAGGAATATGGAAGGATTATTTTATCTCAGCACGGTGTGAAATCACTGTACCCAAGGAAGTCTTCAGGAGGGACACCCCATCGAGTCTTCATAAAGGACGGCTTAATGAGTGAGATTTGGAAAAATATTGCGTAATTTGTTTCGTATAAAACAGCACAATGCTTACAGTCGTTGGAAATTTAAGGACTCTGAAAACATTCTTAAGGAGGATGGTAAAGTTCAAACTGCAGCCCTACTCTCGGAAGCGATCTCAGTCCCAGACTGGAACCTGTTGGAGAAGGAAGTTCCCATAAAGGGGGCAAGAGATTGCCGCTCTAATGGAGGGTGTGTGCGTGCGGCGGGGGGG